TTAGTGTGTTGTGCCATTTTGAGTAGCTTTCATAAGAACTCTCCACACTCCACGCTGGCATTCTCACCTTACTTCACCCTTGTGCTGGGAATGTTGATCAGAGTCTGTCATATTATTACACAGACCTCCTTCCCTAGGTCTTATCAGAGTCTCCCTCTTGCCCGTAAGGTCCGTCCGCTATCTCCCTGGTTCAAGTATTTCACTCGAACCCTGCCACCCCATCTGTGCTCCACGAGACGTCATTTCCCACACATTGCGTCTTCTAGACTAAGTTAAGACTAAAAACAGCGATTAATTCTCATGGTCTAGCCTTTACTTCATGATCCACGTCTATGGTAAAACAGGCTTACCGTCAGCGAATTAGCTCCAGTCTCCACCGCGTCTATCCTGTTTCTATTCTTAATACCAAGTCTATGACTTGTGTGCCAACCCACGAATGTTGTGGTTCAACATTGAACCTAATCATAGCAAGTAGTACCACAACCTTTGTGGGTTGGCACACAACTTAATCTCCCAGAGGCAGAGTGTGTGAAATAAAGCCTCGAGTAGCACAGATGGGGTGGCAGCGGTCGAGTGAAATACTTGAACCAGAGATAGCGGACGGATCTTACGGGCAAGAGGGAGACTATGATAAGATTTATGGGAGGAGAACTGCAGAACAATAGGGCAGACTTTTATCAACATTTCCAGCACAAGGGTGAAGTAAGGTGAAAACACCAGCGTGGAGTGTGGAGGGTTATCATGAAAGCTGCTCAAAATGACACAAACACTACATTTAAATAGGCAAGGAAACAATTGTGATAGTTAAGGTGTGATACGAGGATATAGAGAAGGTTAGTAACCCAGTACAGGAGCGATACCACAACTGTTTAGCACACATCTGGTCAAATTATCGGCTTCACTTGTCTCTTTGACGAGTTGTAGTATGATGTTTAGTCTGACCAGACTCACTGACGATTCCGGTCAAACGTCTGGAATGTACCACGTCAACGGTCCGACTTGGGAAACGACCATGCATACAATGGACTCCGGACTAGATGCATTCCTCTAAGTTTTCCTACGAATAATGCCAAGTTGCGAGAACAAAGTCAAACAACTTTTACAAAATGCATAATATTTCAATAGGAAGAAGACCAGAGAAAATTGCATAGTAGAAAACTGATGTTTGATAGTCAGTGAAGTTGATGATGGAAGGAAACGAATTGAGCGTTGGAAACTCGGTCGCAAGGTTGACATTTGAAGCCTCGAATATCCGACTCTAAGTAGATCCGTCTAACCTAGCCTTCGTCCAGAAATGGTGCATAGACAATGAAGGGTTAGTGCATCTTTTATGCCCTGGGGCTTAAGTAATCTAGGCAGGCATAACAACGAAACGTGTGGCATTCTGTGCCAAGATAGTGAGACTGTATTTTCACAAAGCAATCGGGCTTCCAGTTGGATCGCTTGACTGAAATGCACGTAAACACAGAGGGCAGACATAGAAGCGAAAGTTTGACAATAAATTAGGCATCGTCAACAGCAAACACATACCACCTACTCTACATTACAGAAGAGCGATAGTAGCCCCACGCCCCCGTTGCCTGCCGCAACTTAAGCGCTTCTAGCCAGCCCAAACTCGTCACCTTCAGGCGGTGGTAGTAACAAATTCATACTAAAAGCGCTTACATGTAAAGCTAAATAAACTGACTCTATCCTTGCTAAAAAAATCTTATTTTATCTGCGCTAACGGTCTCCAACTCTGGATAAATAGCAAACGGGAAGCATCGATTTCAAGGGCTTACTCTTTTGTTGGCAAGCCGGCAAGCATACTTCGTCCCAGTCCCACTGGATAATTTTCAACGACTATCTTGTTGAGTTGGCTCAAACGCTCGCCTTACTCTACTCAGCTTTGATTAAGAGGGCAGATTTAATAATAATTGTATTCTATCATTCTTTCCGCATCGCCTTATCTTAGCATATTCTGAACGTTGAGATTAAATCAACCGCCCAAAGAAGGATGGATCAGACAAGATTCGTGCCTTATGTAAGAGAAGCATGTTGATGAATAAATCACGGTAAGATATTTTGCTCAATCCCGGCTTACAGGACTCAAAAGATACCCCCATTAGCACAATGCCAAGCTTAAATAGGTAAACATCTGGCAATATGGACAGGAACCGTTGTGTCCACCACGGAATGGGCTGTATGTAATTACTACATGAAGTGTATCTTCCCTCTTGTTTAAGATGATAAGGGGACTGTTAGTTGAATTTTTCGACAATCATATGAGTAAGCCCTATGTTTCCATTCAATTTCTCATAACATTTCTTTTCTTTATTGAAAAACAAGGCTATGTAGACGCACGGTGAGCGTCGAAACGTAAGGTCCATTCATAGCATTGTGGGAAAACTCAGCTAACTTAAACGAAATATGGTGAATACACCCCATATCATTATGCAAATCAGAATGACCAGAGATTTAAAGAATTATCTGAATTAAGGCATACCTTCGCAATTTGTCAGAACACCGAGATCATTTTAAAATAATTTAACTACATGTTATGATGGAGAAGAGGAAAACAGGCGAATTTGCCTTGGCCGTACGGACACAAGAGGAGATACTCAGACACTATGGCTACCAGGTAAGTGGCGTAGACAATAAAAAAAAGAAGACATCACCGTGGGGCAAAACAGTGCACTGAGTATCCAGATAGAGAATGTACTGCTAGAAGTTCATTTGCCTGGCTTTGATGAGAAAAGGCGTTAATTAATATTTAACCTAAGGACTGACAGCATCTCGATTCCGGCGTTACTGCCCCTGCGTGTATATCAGGCACAACACTAGGAGAAAGCTTGTTTGCGGAAGAACACAAGTAGCCTCCTCCAGGAAATTACTGATAATCTTTAGAAGAACCATTTCAAAATATTTTATCTAATCCATCTAAGCAAATAGTAGTTTACAGCGAGGACTACAAATGAGACTTTCAACCAAAGGCGTATCGAAACATACTAGACCAAGATACATCATAAGTGTTATGACAATGTCCATTGGCAGGACAAGTTTTAAAATGTCTGTTTAGCTGAAAAACGTATGGTTAAAGATGGAGAACGAAGAGAATATCCGGTCGTTGAGCAGAGATTGACGATATGCATGTATGTAGTTGTAAAATAAAGGCACTCGAGCAGAACCAGGAGATAAAACCAAAAGCCAAAACTGGTACAGATAAGCAAAACGATTCCTGGCGAGCACACAGAGGGAGACCTGAACGCTGAAAGTCGTCAATAGATGCATGCGACAAATCAACACATTATTAGGAATTTCAAGTCGAGGTCAGCAGGCTGAATGGGAAAGTCTTGAAGAATACGCTGACCAAACGAAGAAGCGCAACGCCGCGGAGGTGAAAACCAAGGCGAGCATGAAGGTTTACTCAAAAAAGTGGAGTCATGACCGAAGGGACTGGTGAGGATTGCTCCAACAAACCCACACAAGATGTGTTCCTAGACATATTTTGGAACAAGTGGGAATACAAGCCTGAACGGAGCTACGTCTAAGCCATAAATGTTAGGAGAAAGAGAGATGATCATGCAAGTGGAAAGAGAAGCGGCCTGGCGTGGGCGAGGACCAGACAGCTTAATCGAAGGCATGAAAGCAAAGATGGGCGGTCCCCTTTCACTGTATAGAGGTTCGGCACGGTTTTGGCAACTTGGTCGCGTTATCAGGACAACTTAGATTAAGGTACCTTGGATAGAGTCCTCTACCGTAGTAGTCATGAGTATCCTAAAGTTTGGATGTACCAAGACCAGACCAAGACTACTATGCCCAAGGATTGTAAGCAGGGTGGATTTATGTAGGTCGCCGCGACAGCACGACCAAGTTGCAAAAACATAGTCAGGCCACTCGTAAAAAGAGAACAAAGGCAACGGTGAATTTCACGAGTTGTGGCCTGTCTCAAAGACTGGCTCCGTGGAAGTGTCGGGTGTCATGCCGACGAAGAGTATGGACGTCAATCGATGCGACGGTCGATGCTGGAATAAAACAGGACTGCAGTGAGAGGTAGTACGTAGCAGGTTTCACAGCCCCTATAAACACGGACAAGTTACGAGAATGAGGATAAACCAAACCAATAAAGTGCACTTAGGTCTCAGAAAGTTGGTATGCAGAGCCGATACACCAGCGCCGCCTTCCCCACCACCTGTTGCAGGCGAATCAGCCAAGTCGGCCTATTTCGGATGTCGTCTCGTGTGCATTTGGATGAGGAATATGGCACAGGCCAATCCTAGCCGTAAATAATCACGTCGGGAGGTTAAAAAAAGAGTGAAGCAGAGCCTCACGCTGCTATGCGGCAGCAGGCAGTGACAGGCAGGGCTTGCTGCAACTAGTGTAGGCAGGCCGAGTTTCATTGGGGTCGGTTTAAGTTGCGACAATTTCAGACGGATTGGCAAGCGATGCGCTAGATACTTCAGCCAGACAGACGGCAATTTCACGACAGCGCTTGGCAGGACAGGCAGATATTAAACCCCGCTTCCTGAGCATCTGCGCCAAGGTGGGCAGATGGGAGTAGTCGGGCGGACCTGTACCGATGGGCTGAACGGGAGCGCCTATGCTCGACGAAGGGATGACAGTTACGAGGCCTTTGAGTCAAAATGACTGGCGACAGCAGATGAATGGAGCGACGATACAGTTGGTCGATAAGTTGCAAACAAAGTTGACAATAGCAATACGATAGGCAGGTGACTAGACTAGAGGGTTTTACGTGTTTTAATTAAGGCGTATAGGCACTCGTGAATGCCGAGGGCTTTCAGATTAACCATGGCACGCGGATCGATTGGAAAGTATAGTTACTTTCATGCAGACAAAGGGCCGTCAGATGCGTGAACAATCGGAAAGCAAGGCAGTCCAGCAGGCAGTGTGCTTGCTTGCCAAAGCAAGACTTGTCACCCCGAAGGAACCATTAAGAGTAACCAGTCTCACACCAATTCTTATTTTCACACATCACCAGAACGGGACCCTCAAGAGGGGCGCGGATGCGTATCAAGGTGGCGCCAGTGATTCGGACTTAGGCCAGGCATAGCTATAAATCATGCGAAGCTTGTGGAAATAAAATTCCAATCGAAAACAGGAAAATTAAATATAGACAGCCTTCAGTGCACAAGATGGTATAGAACTAGTGTTGCCTAGGGCGATTAAGTTGCCCAAGAAAGGCTAGTGCGTCATCAAATTGCAGTGAGCAGAAATGCCTCACAATGGAACCGAGTGGCCGATAGCAATAACACCGACACGGCGCAAGACTCACCAATCAGAAATGAACAGATGAGTAAAACAGCCAACGCATCCGGTACGAATAAAATGAGTATAACTAGGGGGTAAGCAGGAGAAATCATGAGGTAGCTGGATTCTGGTTGGGGCTCTACAATGCCAATTAAGTCATGAGCGTTGCGAGTGCGACCAGAATATACATAAAAGCCACGAGATGAAATTTCACTTTATTCAACTGTTAAATCGCATCCGTTAGTAGACTTAACATGAAATACCCAGCCAAATCACCGGATGTAGCGAGCCTACCATGGCGCTTGATGACTTTTGAGTAAGATGGCTCGGTCATCTTGAGGTGTCACGGGGGGAGAAACGAAAGCACACCACAGACCTATAGGGCTATGAACATGACGTGCAGCAAACCAAGGAACAAATTAATGATCCAAACCGCAAGGTGATCCTTGGTCGAAGAGGTCAGAGTATAAATCCCTTTCACCCAACTTTTCAGAATAAATAAAGTCAAATGAGACTGGCTGACTCATCAAGTCTCTTAATCTCAAATATACGGTTGACCTGATTCAATTTATTGCAAAAGCCAAGTGTGGTGAGTGCTAGATAGAACATAGCCCTAAAAAGCCGTACAGCAAAGTATGCTCTTACATAAACCAAACCAATCCTAAATGTATAATTTACTAATGCCAGTAACGTCTGAAAAATAGATAGCCCAAATGCAGGGTAAGATAATATCGGCTTAAAACGGCTAACACAATATCTTTATTCCGCCGTAGGTATATAAAGAATTGGGAGTAAAAGGCAGGAGGGCGAAAAAATCAAAAATATCTATGGAATCAGGAGATTAGCAAAGTGTAATCGAAAGAAGCTAGATTGACAAGAGTTTTGGCTCTCAAGCGAAAAAGAGTAGATGGAATAAAACATGTCCGTAAAATCAGTTCCGATCAAGGCCCATTTGAGAGAAGATAACAAGTAGGAAAAGTGAGTCAGAGACTGCAAGTAAGCCACTGCCAGCAGTGCTACCTTGTTGGCAAGTGGTGATGGTGTTGATACCTTGTGTTTTAGCAGCATACAAAGCCAGAAGGATGAATGTGTATTATAAGTAAGATATGAAAAAGAAGATAACCATCGAAGGTGCGGATTGCGAAAAAAATAGCATGCGTAGTCAGCGAAAATATGAATAATAGCTGATCGTTTAAATTAAGGCGAGGATAAACTGAGAAAGATGAACAGTCCTGAAATGGTGATAAATTAAGGCGAAGAATTAAGATCAGGAAAAAACAGTGAGCAGACTGGCTTTAAGCAAACTAGATATTATTTTGAACGGAAGGTATGGCGAAGACCTTGAATTTAAGAATAGTAAGGCAAGAATTTAAGTTTAACAAAACTAAACCAACAGGCAGCAAGTGAAATAGGAGAAGCATACAAGCACATAAAAACCGACAGAATGATGATAACAATAATATGGCTGTCTCGTTAAGTGTAAGAAAAAGGCATAAAAGTAGTAAGCCGAATTGCCAAAATATTCGAATATTTAGACTCTAACATCGGGGCGTGACGGGAGACGCAAGAATATGAATGTGTTTGTATAACAAAACAAAACTGCACAGGGATGTCCAGATACAAGGGGGGGGAAATATAAGCAAACAGATCATGACATATAGCTAGAGAGCAATGCAGGAACCTACATTAGATAGTGTTTACAAAAAAAA